ATTGAAGAGTTTATGAACAATAAAGAAGTGCAGGCCAGAAAGGAATAGAGTGCTAAAAGCAACTTTTGCCCTGAGGGCATTTATGAATCCTGGAAAATTAAGAACTTTCTTTGAGAAGGCCCTACTGCCTGAGAGAGATGAAAACCAAAACTGGGTCCTGCTCAGCAGGTAGGAACCCTCCACAGGTTAAGTTAGGGCCTCAAATGCATATTCTCATAAGTTGAGCACAGACTGGGAAATTGAACATGCTCCAGACATTCTTTTTTCAGTATAGTTTGAATATCCTGGGACTAAAAGAGTTTCCCAAATCCAGAGCTTGATCTAAGGTGGTGCTGGTCTGGTAATATACGCAGATCTGATAGAAGCAGCAAATGCAGATCCTTTCTAGAGGATATTATTTTTATTATTTTTTTTTCTCTTTGAGATAGGGTCTTGCTGTCACCAGGTTGGAGTGCAATGGCGTGAACATGGCTCACTGCACCCTCCACCTCCTAAGATCATGCAGTCCTCCCACCTCAGCTTCTCATGGAGTTGGGACCACAGGCCCGTGCTGCCAACCCTGGCCAATTTTTCAATTTGTAGAAACGGGGTCTCATTTTGTTGTCTAGGCTGGTCTTAAACTACTAGGCTTAAGCATTCTTCCCACCTCAGCCTACCAAAATGCTGGAATTACAAGCATGAGCCACTGTACCTGGTCTATTTTTCTTGGTCTCAAATTGTTCCTAAAAATAAAATTTAAAGTGTGATATCATTTGGCACACAATTTAGAATATACCAGTCACACAAGAAAACTAGCCTCCATGAGTAAAACCCAGTAAACACACACACTGCAGACCTGCAAATAATTCAGATATTTTGAATTACTAGATGAAGATTGAAAAACTAATCCAGAGTCTTTATTATTTACTTATTTAGAGACAGAGTCTCACCCTGTCAGCCAAGCTGGAGTGACAGGATCTCGGCTCACTGCAGTCTCCACCTCCTGGGCTCAAGCACATCCTCCCACCTCAGTCTCCCAAGTAGCTAGGACTACTCGTGCGTGCCACCATACCTGGCTAATTTGGGTATTTTTTTAGAGATAGGGTTTTGCCATGTTGCTCAGGCTGGTCTCAGAATTCCTAGGCTCAAGCGATCCACCCACCTCAGCCTCCCAAAGTGCTGGGATTATAGGCGTGAGCCACCACGCCTAGCCTCCAGAATCTTTATCAAACAATGATGCTATATGCAATGGTTTGTTATGTTATATTCACTAATAGTTTTATTTGTTTTATCTCTCCAACATGCTAGTAATTTTCTTATGTGGAACAACTTAGATGCATTAAACCTTTTTTTCAAAAGAGAATGTTTTGTGGTGACAACTATATTAAAGTTACATTTTTATTTTAAATACGCAAATATTGAAACTAGCATGTGCCTCCCTTTTAGAGCAGAGTAATTCATTTGTTTGTAACTAATTCTTCTCGATAATAACCCTAGGTTTAGATGATAACTTACAGTTTACTAAATGCCAGTTTTTTAAAAATCTTCTCTGTATCTTAGAATAGTATAAAATTCCCACAGTAAACCAAATTGTGTAAGTGAGTAACTCTCCCTTGACCCTTAGAACTCCCAAGAGGGAAGTCATACAATGAGGAGTGAAGTAGGCTTTTTCTCCATAAAGACTGAAAAGGAAAGGAAGGAAGAGGGAAGATATAAGAAAAGCAGGACAAAGGCAACTGTCCACTGCCTAATGTTTTTCCCCACAGGAATTATGGTCCCCTAGTTTCCCCCTTCTTTGTGAGGGCTGTATTATTTCATGTCCAGGAGATAATCCTTTTTTAAAGAATGGAACTAGGCCTAGTGATTCACACCTGTAATCCTAGCATTTTGGGAGACAGGCAGGTGGATCACAAGGTCAGGAGATTGAGACCATCCTGACTGACATGATGAAACCCTGTGTCTACTAAAAACACAAAAATTAGCTGGGCGTGGTGGCATGCGCCGGTAGTCCCAGCTACTTGGGAGGCTGAGGCAGGAAAATCACTTTAACCCAGAAGGCGGCGATTGCAGTGAGTCGAGGTCACGGCACTGCACTCCAGCCTGGCAACAGAGCGAGACTCCTTCTGAATGAATAAATGAATGAATGAATGAGACTCTAAAAGTTAAGGTTTAAGGCGTTCATTACCCAGTTTCAAGACTTACTATAAAACAACTGTTACCAAGACAGCATGGTATTGGCAAAAAGGTAAATACATATACATATGGAACATAATAGAGTCCAGAAATAGATCTATATTTGAAATAATCCATAATTGTCTCATATAGTCAACTTAACTTTGACAAAGTGACGAAGATACAATGGCAATTCTATGGAGAAAGCATAGTTTTTTCAACCAGTAGTGCTGGGATAATTGGATGTCCATATGCCAGAAAATAAAAATAAAAGAACATATTTTTATATGTTCTTCACACCTTATGCATCACATATACTTCACACCTTAAATAATAATTAACTCAAAATGCTTCACAAATTTAAATGTAAAATATGAACCTATCAAACTTCTAGCAGAAAATAAAGGGAAAATATGCCCAATCTTGGTATTGGCAATGAAGTTTTAGATATGACACCAAAAGCATGATCCATGAAAGGAGAAATTAATTAGATTTTGTCAAAATTAAAAACTTTGTGAAGCCGGGCGCGGTGGCTCAAGCCTGTAATCCCAGCACTTTGGGAGGCCGAGGCGGGTGGATCACGAGGTCAAGAGATCGAGACCATCCTGGTCAACATGGTGAAACCCCGTCTCTACTAAAAATACAAAAAATTAGCTGGGCATGGTGGTGCGTGCCTGTAATCCCAGCTACTCAGGAGGCTGAGGCAGGAGAATTGCCTGAACCCAGGAGGCAGAGGTTGCAGTGAGCCGAGATCACGCCATTGCACTCCAGCCTGGGTAACATGAGTGAAACTCCGTCTCAAAAAAAAAAAAAAAAAAAAAAAAACTTTGTGAAAAATAGTGTTAAAAGATGAAAAGACAACTCATAGACTGGGAGAAAATATTTGCAAATTACATATCTGATAGTGGACTTGTATCTAAAATATTGTAAGAATTCTTAAAAATCAACAATAAGGCAGCAAACAGTCCAGTTAAAAATGGTCAAAAGACCTGAACAGATACTTCACCAAAGTAGATATAAGGATGGTAAACATGTGAAAAGATGATATTCAACATTTTATGTTGTTAGGGAAATACAAATTAAAACTACAAAGAGCTACCACGATATACCTGTTAGAATGACTACAGTAACAAATGCTGACCAAGAGGTGGAACAGTAGCACTGTCATTCTTTGCTAGTGGGAATGTAAAATAGTAGAGTCACTTTGGAAGGAAGACAGTTTCTGAGAACACTAAACATAAGCTAGAGTATGACCCCATGATGGCACTCCTAGGTGTGTTTACCTAAGTGATTTAGGTCCATCCAAACCTGCAAATGTTTATAGCAACTTTATTCATAATTGCCAAAAATGTAAAGCAACTGAGATGTCCACTCAACAAGGAAATGGATAAACTGTGTTAATCATTTAGTGATAAAAAGGAACAAATAATTGATTCACATAACATGAATGAATCTTTAAAGCATTTTACTAAGTGAAAGAAGCCAGACCAAAAAGGATACAAACTGTGTGACATCTTTCACATGACATTCTACAAAAGGCTATAGAAGTAGAAAATGGACTATTGGTTGTTAGGGTTTAGGAGAGAGGGGAGTGTTGACTGCAAAGGGGATGTATAGGGGGAACTTGTACAGTTCTGGGTTGGTGGAAGTTTGATGAACTATTTATTCATCAAACCCATAGAACTGTACTTTACCATAACCAAGCAATGAAATTTAATGTCACCAGTGATTATGTCATGTAGGTGTCATGTACCCCCTCATACGATATGATAACAAGGGTACTGCGCCTCTGTGGTAGTCTTTCCCAAAACTCTTAACTCCAGTCTACTCATGATAAAAACATCAGACAAACCCAAATTGGGAGTTGTCCTACAGGTTATCTCATCAATACTCATGACCATGAAGGTCATGAAAAGCAAAGACAGACAGATAATTAGACCAGAGGAGACTGGGAAGACATGGCCTCTGAATGCAGTATGGTTTCCTATATTGGATCCTGGAACAGAAAGGGAACATTAGTGGAAAAACTGGTGAAATTTAAGTAAAATGTTTTGTTTAGTTAACAGAAATCTTCCAGTGTCGGTTTCTTTGTTTTGACAAATATACCATGATAATATGTTAACAACGAGAGAAACCAGGTGTCCGGTATATGAAAACTCTCTGTACTACCCTTGGGACTTTACTGTAAATCTAAAATTATTCAATATAAAAAGGTCACTGAGGAAAATAATAAGTCACTTAACACTGTCAAGTATAAGTCAGAGTTTAAGACGGATTGAGGAATGGAAGAATTTCTAGAGTATATACATTAGGTTTAGAGAAAGAGGAGGTAATTTTCATAATCAGTTCTTTCCACTAGCAAAATGCCATCTCCAAAAAAAAAAAGTTGATCTCATGGAGGTGGAAAGTAGAATGGTAGTTACTAGAGGCTGAGAAGGGTGTATGGGAGGGGTTCCAGGAAGAGATGAAGACAGGTTGGTTAATGGGTGTAGACATACAATTAGACAAAATAAGTTCTAGTGTTTGATAGCATAGAAGAGTGGTTGTAGTTAACAACAATATATATTTCAAAATAACTAGAAGAGAAGATTCAAATGTTCTTGACACAAAGAAATGATGAATAATGTTCAGGCTGATAGACATACTAAGTACCTTGATTTTGTCCTTACACTGTATGCATGTATCAAAATACCACATGTGCCCCATAAATATGTACAAATATTATGTATCAATAAAAGGAGATCTGTAATTTATGAGTAATAAAATTTTTAAAAGAACATTTACCTTCTAAAAAGTAATCATATGCAAATTAAAAGTAGAATTTATTCCTTTTACCTTTCTGTTCCTAGGTGATACATTGCATGCAACTGGATCCTGCAAGAATCGTTTATCAGGACATTCTCTTGCTGGTACTTTATTTCGGTGGGAACAAGATGAAATACCAAGGTTAGTTAATGTTGTAAAGGAAATGAAAATTTTACATATATCCTAGTTGTGATCAGAAATCAGTGGTTACTGTTACTAAATTTTAACCTTTTATTGTATTGAATCTTTTTCATCTATACGCTTCTCAAAAAAAGCAAATCTCAACATTAGTATGTTACAGGAATAAATGATTTAAAAAACAGACCATAAAAATATATCTAGTTATTACCTAATTAACAAAAGGAATATGAGGTAGGTATTGTTAATACTTTTCTACAGCATTCATCTTCATCATGCATTCTAATTTGATATCCTATAACTTGTCAAGTAAAAAATTACATTAATAACAAAATAGTAATTTAAAACAAAAAGTAAATCTTTTAACTAAAAACCCCTAAAATTTATAAATATTAAATATGTAATAAAGTATTTTGACATGCTCTGTTTTTGAATAATATAATTTGTAATTTCTTTGTTTCATTATTGATTAGACTTTTTTAGACACAGTGTACTCCAATTGCTTGGATTTTTTTATTAGAAAGCAGCTATGTATTGGCTTATGCAAATTTTTTACTCATACTTTTTTTTAACTACTGGTGCTGATTTTTAGTTCTGAAAACTACTACATCTCCATAGGAAAGCCTTGTGTTCTGAATGCCTGAAGTAGTTTTGTAATAAAGGCAAGTTGGAAATTTCTACTGTGAGATTATATTTTTTGATGTTACTGTTTCACTCCGTACTCTCAAATGTGCCACTTCTGGAATAATCATTCTTGATATTTCCAACATAAATATTTCAAATCACCAAACTCTTTCATGTAAGAAAACTGTTGATTATAAACTCTTAAAAATCTGATACTTCAATTTGTGTTAAATTGTATAAATGAAGAGGACAATCCACATTTTGTTGTTGTTGAGACAAGGTCTCGCTCTGTTGTCCAGACCAGAATGCAGTGGTGCAATCTTGGCTCACTGCAACTGCTGCCTTCTGGGCTCAAGTGATCCTCCCACCTTAGCCTCCCAAGTATCTGGGATTACAGGTACACAACACCATGCCTGGCTAATTTAAAAAATATTTTTTGTAGAGATGAGGTCTCACTATATTGCTTAGCCTCCCAAGTATCTGGGGCTACAGGTGCATAACACCATGCCTGGCTAATTAAAAAAATTTTGTTGTAGAGATGACGTCTCACTGTATTGCTCAGGCTGGCCTCCCAAGCTGAAGCTGAGATCATATGCCTGAGCCACCAAGCCGAGCTGACAGTCTACATTGAGAATATTTTTTCTGAAAGAGAAAGGAATATATTGTGATTGGTTGGCTAATATATTTCTTCTCTATTAATGGTGAAAAGATATGTGTGTATGTGTGTCTAAATATACACCTATGAGTACATATGTATATTACTTGAGTTGTAAAAATTCTGTGGTTTTAACAAACTAATATATAACAATATTCCATCAATGTTTCCTTTAAAATAGACAATGGAAAATGAGGTTTTGCTAACAAGTTTTTCTTTTTTTTTTTTTTTTGAGATGGAGTCTTGCTCTGTCACCAGGCTGGAGTGCAGTGGCGCAACCTCGGCTCACTGCAACCTCCACCTCCTGCGTTCAAGCTATTCTCCTGCCTCAGGCTCCCGAATAGCTGGGACTACGGGCATGCACCACCACGCTCAGCTAATTTTTGTAATTTTAGTAGACAAGGGGTTTCACCATGTTGGCCAGGATGGTCTCAATCTCTGATCTCATGATTGGCCTGCCTCAGCCTCCCAACATGCTGGGATTACAGACATGAGCCACTGCGCCTGGCCCATGTTTTTCTTAAAACATTAAAAGATGTTTCAAGGCCAGGGCGCAGTAGCTTACACTTAATCCCAGCACTTTGGGAGGCCACGGTGGGCAGATCACCTGAGGTCAGGAGGTCAAGACCAGCCAGACCAACATGGTAGAAACCCTTCTCTACTAAAAATACAAAAATTAGTCCTTCATGGTGGTGCGTGTTTGTAATCCCAATTACTTGGGAGCCTGAGGCAGGAGAATCACTTGAACCCAGGAGGTGGAGGTTGTAGTGAGCCGAAATCGCACCACTGCACTCCAGCCTGGGCAATGGAGTGAGACTCCATCTCAAAAACAAACAAAAAGTGTTTCAAATCAAAAGTTAATGAAATACATCATCACCCACTTTCTAGTAAAATTATGGATCTCCCCTTTTCACTTGGTGTCCATTTTTGTATGAGGCCTAAATTTTGAAATGAGTAAACAAGGATCCACACTTGATGTTATCTCTTCATTCTGTTAAGCAGGGTTAATTATATGGTGTCTTCCTTATCTTCTCTTGGGGGCACTGATGAAAAGCAAATGCTTTTGAGTCAAAGATCATGAATGAGAAACAATCGTTTGTAGTTCTCATAAAAATTAATGACCTTGTGGTATCATTACTTTCCCTAGCTATGATCCTACTGTTGATCATTCATGTAGTTTATCAATTCTGTAGTTTATGAAGGATTTTAAAGTATTTCCTAGCTCCTCAGTAGTTGAGGGCAGGAAGAACAGTGAGTATCATTTGCCCACTTCTCAGTGTGCTCGCCTTCCCTTATCTCTTATTGCACGTTCTCCCTCGTTTTTTTGAATACTGAAAAACATGTCTCTAGGCAACTGATTTCATATGTGTATGGTTTTTTATGCATCCCTCTGTGGTCTTTTGATCATCTTATCCCATTCTGCCCTGGGTTTGACCATATGCTAAAACATTTTATATTCATTATATATGAAATATAATGAAACAAAGTATGTAGAATATGCTGCAAAAGGATCTTAATAGGGTTGTCAGTATGCTTTATATTTTGTTTATCCTATTTTTCATTATGTATACACATACATTATCAATTTTGACAGGAATAATTGTGAATTAATATACCACATTTTCTGGTTACCAGCTAAACATAAGGCAATTGTATAAATACGAATAATCTTACAAAGCTTGCTCTCACATAATTATTGTGTTTTTTATATCTTTTTATTGCAGCTCTTTAGTATTGGAAGGTGTTGAACCACAGAGTACATGTGAATTAGAAGTGGATGCTGTAGCTGCTGATATCCTAAATCGTCTGGACATAGAAGGTTCATATACAATTATTCTTAACATATGTTTTTATTTTTTAAAATTAATGATCGGCCGGGTGTGGTGGCTCATGCCTGTAATCCCAGCACTTTGGGAGGTTGAGGTGGGTGGATCACGAGGTCAGGAGATCGAGACCATCGTGGCCAACATGGGGACACTCTGTCTCTACTAAAATACAAAAAAAAAATTAGCCAGGCATGGTGGTGCACACCTGTAGTCCTAGCTGCTTGGGAGACTGAGGCAGGGGAAATGCTTGAATCCAGGAGGCAGAGGTTGCAGTGAGCCGAGATCACGCCACTACACTCTAGACTGGTGACAGAGCAAGACTCCATCCTCCTCCCCCTCCAACAACAACAACAAAAAAAACACAATGGCCAAAGTAGAATAGAAAAAGTAGGAAAGAAAATATTACACGGGAACTAAGATACTATAGAAAGGATACAAAACGTTGTGAATATTGCTTCAATACTGCTGATGAGATAGTAATTAATTTTGGTTTATGTTTTTATACGAATGAGTATATTTGAATAGATATACTAAAGTAAGTGACACTAAATTAAATTAGTCAATATAAAGCAATTTAATATACTCTTCCTTTTAATTTCTTAATTTTTAGATTATATATCAGCAAGGGGACTCTTAGGTCTGTTGACTATCATCAGATGTTTGAATTTTATTCACTTGCTGGGTTTTTGGGAACCACTAGGAAGAAAACTAAAAAAGGAGTAACATAGTATAAGTGTAGGTTGGGATAATCTGTCCACTTTATTACACAAAATATGTGATTGGTTTTTTAAAAGGCAATATTTATTAAAGTTTAGATTTTATTAGGCACGTATTTCTTACTTTGACCCTTGTAGTATTGAAGTATTATTGTGATTACAGCTCAAATTGGTGGAAACCCTGGTCTACAGGCCATATGGGAAGATGAAAAGCAACGGCGAAGAAACAGAAATGAAACTTCTCAAATTAGCCAACCTGAGTCACAAGGTATAAACCCTAATAGTGCTCTGATTATTCTTTTAAACCAAGTATTTCAGTGGAAATGGTCATTGAGTTGTTTCTTTGACGTTAGAGTTTACTTTTCAAATGACCTTTATATTTTCCGTGTATCTTTCTTGTTGTCATTGCTGTACAGCCATTATTTATCTTTACAACTGTCTTTAAATTGTCACTTATCTCTCTTTCCATAAGAAGTTGACATTTTTACTGTTCTTTGTTTTTAGTGTACCTTGTCCTCTTGCCTCACTTTTTTGTTGTTTTCATTCTTTAATATGTTCTAGCCTTCTGAATTTCCAAATAAGGTATAGAAAAGTCACAGAAGATCATGAATCTCAACTTAGAAACACTGTTTAGTACATTAAGCTTTGAAAATGTAGCCATTGAAATGCTGCCCTCAGTTTATTTTCTGAGTACATTATATAAGCTCTCACTTTGTTCATTATGTACAACTCTAAAGAAATAGTCATATATATTATTAAATGCTGCCACATTCAAAAAGAATTTGAGGGGGTTCAAATAATACCATGGATACAGCAAAATTTTAAAAATAAAGGAATAAAAGACATCACTCAAAAGGCAGATATATTATTTCAAAATACAGCAGTAAGCCTGTATAAACTCGTTATATCTTGGGCCCTAAAAATGTTTTGATAAACTCTGAGTGCCTTTTATACTTTTAAAAATAGAAATGTATTTCATAAGGGGGAAATTTCTAGTTTTAGGATATATTTATAGGTAGAGAACAATTACTTCTGTTTTAGATTTACGTTATAATTATAGAACTTGAACTGACTTTAAGTGCCTAATTTTGTAACTTTAGCAACAACATTTTTCTTTGGTATGATTCCATAATAAAACTTCATTTAGGTTGTATTATATGTATCTAGAGAAAGATAGGAAATTGCTACCATTTTTAAAGCTACTTTAGGAGAAGGGAAAATATTTTATTCATTTGCTCTCTACATTTTTTTAATGCACTTTTAAAATTCAAAGATCACAGGTTTGTGCCAGCAACAGAAAGTGAAAAAAATTTTCAGAAGAGACTTCAGGAAATTCTCAAACAGAATGATTTCTCTGTGTAAGTGGTTATTTATTATAGATCTCAGAACTAATTTTATTCATTTGTTATCTAGTCTGTTATAAAGGATATGTTTTAATTAAGCAGAACATTATCAGGATCTGTGGACTACAGCGATGGATCCCAGGAGTTCTCTGCTGAGTTAACATTGCACTCTGAGGTTCTGTCTCCTGAAATGCTTCAGTGTACACCAGCCAGTATGGTAGAAGTTCACAAAGACCAAGAGTCAAGCAAAGGTAAGATTTTCTTTTCAAGTATACAGAAACTACGAGAACAGATATCTAGCACTGAGATGTTAATATTTGATTGAGTTTGCTAGGGTTTTTTTTTTCCCCTAAGAAATAAACATTGTGGATATAGCAAAAATTTCTCCCATTCTGTCACCCTTTCTATATCTCTAAAGGTAAGCAGTATCCTGAAGTTAGTGCAAACTGTTACCATATATAATTTTATATTTTCTTACAATGTTTGCCCACCATATATACCATCGTTTTAAGTTTTAAATTTTACATAAATGATGTTCTGCTTAGCTTAGATGAAGCAACTTGCTTCTTTCACTCATATTTTTAAGCAGCTTGAGGTTTAATTTACATAGCATAAAATTCACTCATTTTAAATGTTTAAGTCAGTGATTTATAGTAAATTTACAAAATGTGTAAACGTCTCCACAATCTCAATTTTAGAATGTTTCCATCAGCCCAGAGGATCCCTTGTGTCCATTTGCAGTTAATGCCTGTTTCCACCTCAAGCCCCAAGTAACCACTAATATATATGGGCTTTTTCTATACTGTGTACCATATAAGTGAAACCATACAATATGTAGTGTTTTGTGTCTGCCTTCTTTTACTTAGCATAATACTTTCAAGGTTTATACATATTGTAGTATCTATCAATATGTATGGAGAAATCACATTTTGTTAATCCATTTATCAGTTGATCAACATTTGAGTTGTTTTCACTTTTAGCTGGTAAGAATAGTCCTGCTGGCTGGGCACGGTGGCTCACGCCTATAATCCCAGCACTTTGGGAGGCCGAGGTGGGCGGATTACATGAGATCAGAAGTTTGCGACCACCCTGGCCAACATGGTGAAACTCCATCTCTACTAAAAATACAAGTATTAGCCAGGTGTGATGGCACACGCCTGTAATGGCTACTCAGGAGGCTGATGCCAGAGAATCGCTTGAACCTGGGAGGCAGAGGTTGCAGTGAGCCAAGATTGTGCCAACTGCACTCCAGCCTGAGCGACAGAGCAAAACTCCATCTCAAAAAA